ATTCATATCTTCGAGCCAACGTGTAATGTTCTTTTTATTATATGGAGAAACCAATTCAACAAAAGCAAAAGGCGGGAATCGTGACGTCATTGAAGGATACGACACTCACAAAGGTGACATACGGAAAATACGCCACTCGGGTCCCGGATGAAGTGGCGTATGGAATTTACGAGTGGTTTAGTTCCCAGTAAAACACTCTCCTCCATATAATAATATATAATATACAAAGTGCCTGGTTTCGTATTTTGCATGTTAAGGTTTAGCATAATATTGTCAGTGACAACATGATTAACAATATTGCTATGCTGTACTTTGATTAAGGCTACCATTGGAAAATGGTCAACTTTGACTGAAAGTGAAATTTCCATTTCAAATTTTTTTTTTAAGCCATCTGTTCCCATTATTAATTTAGGAAAGTCATTTTTAGTGATGATTAACTGTAGTATCTCACCTGAGTTGCTATCAATACCATGTCTACAAGATGAAATACAAAGAAAAAACCCAAAGTACAAAACTTCAGCAGGCCTATAAATTAAGAAGAAAGGCACTTCGCATCAGAAGATTAATAATAATTACTTATTAATTTAAATTATTCATAAATACTTATTAAAAAGGAGAAAAAAAAATTCCATCTTTTGATGTCAACACAGAGAACCAAGAAAGCTTTAAATACTGTATTTTAGGAAAACTTATTGTGTTTTATTGTGTTATGACAAATTCAGTTGGAGATCAGGAAAATGATGCAAGCTACTATGCAAAACCTCAAACTAATTACCATTGCTGCCTGCAGTTCAGTTTTTGTTTTCATGCTTTAGATTGGCTTTTCCCAAGCAACACAATAACATTCATGATCACAGTTATTTTTTATGTTACACAAAAGATGTACAAGTTTCAGCCAAAGTGTGTACACATCTATGTATCTTACCTATTGCTGGATATCCCAGATAGAATCTATCAATTCCAAACATTCCAAGAAAGACTGACAGCAAAAGCGCAGTTTCATAAGAATGACCATTGCTGTGCAGAGAATTTAAAGATAAAACATGTTAGCAAGAAGAACAGTTGCTTTTGGGTTTCTTTAAGGTTAGGGCTAGTATTTTTTTTCTTTCAATTGCTAGCACAAGGGACTCCTTTCTTTAGCGTTTGGGTCTCACTAAGGCAAGATTTTAACATCAAAAACGTAGAGTGGGTCCTACACTGCAGCTGACAAACCAGTTAATTCTGTTCAACACAGAACTAACAGGTTAAATGCTATCCAATTAAACTTTCATCTTGAATGTAAACACAGCAAACATAAAACAGCTTTCCAGGCCTGCTAATTGCAAAGACTTTCAAAAAATAAACCTTCATGAATACTTCAGCAGTTAATTCCAAGGAATCTTATATCCATCTTAAAGCTTATCTTGGGCAATATAATGCAAAATAATACTTAAGATTAATTAATAAATAAATTAAGAACTGAGGTTTATAATGTACATGTTTTAAGGATTTTTCTATACAGAAAACACATTACTGTAGGTTGTAGCTAATACATACAAAAGAAGTTTACTTACGTGTGGCGGCATGTTACATTTTTAAAGCATTTGGTTATATTTTGTCCACCTTTGTTTATGGCTGTAGTGTCACATTCCACTAGGAAAAATATAATAATTGATGATTCAAGAAAAGCAAAGAAACCATGCAACTGTACAAGTGCGAAATATAGTCCATCTGTTAATAGGCCATGATAAAATGCTAAATGACAAGAACATCAGGATGTTGCAAATGGCATTTTGCCTAAGCTGAGTGTGTCTGAGAGGCGCAGATTTAAAAAATCAAGCTCAAACTCTCACATCTTCAAAAACCCTTCTACAGGTCACTACCTTTGGCATCCAGATTTTGCAAAGGTCTGGGAAAGAAGCCATAAATTTCATTGCACAACTTAAGGCACAGTAAGTTTTATGAGCTCTTAGTATCTAGATACATCATGGATTGGTATTCGGTCACTGCCTTCCATGGTCAAATCATTCCAAGTCAGACTGTTCCAAACTATCGTCAGAACTATTCAGGAGTATCTGAGCCATGAGCAGAAGCAAGGGCATTGCTCTTGAGTATACTTCGTTCTTTAAGCCAAGAAAGCATCCCTCATGCTTTAAGCCAAAAAAGAATCTTTCATGTCAGGTTTGCCACTGAAACTGTGGAACAATCTGACTATAAAATGACATGATCTGACCATGGAACGAAGTGGTTGCAAACCCGTGGAGGGATAACGTAAATACTGAAAACTCAACAAAAACAATTACTTAATAAACAACTCACTTAATAACAAAAAACTGGGTATAAAACATCAAACTGAGTTTCAATAAGGTACTTCAGTTGAACGCAAAGATTATTTTCGTTTCATTTGAGAGTGCAAGGAGGCTGTCATCGCTGCATTATGCAAATTTAAGTTATGTCAATCAGAAAACACTATCTGCCTGCATGCAGAAAATTCAGATTGCATTGTGCTGATCAAATCACCTTCAACGGTGTGATTCTTGGAACAATCAACAGCTGCTTGAGTAGACGAATCAATTTCTGGACTTCTACATCGATACATATGTTAGTCAAGGAACAACTTGGTAAATATGTTAAGCTTACCAAGACAATATTACACTAAACAGTACCAGATGAACACATATACAGCTATTTCGAGAAAGGTTGTCGGAAAAAATGTGCACGCGACAATCCCGAAAGGTAATATGGGATATGATCAATACACAGTTCCTGACACTGCAGGTGTCGAACCTACTTTTGT